AAATTTTTTTTTTTTTTTTTTTTATTGTGAAAACATAAAATGAAGTAATAATAATAATAATTTTAATTATCGTTTTTTTTTTTTTTTCGTTCGCAAATGTTATTAACAGATACGAATTAATATAAAAATTATTAGTTTAAATACGTTAGAGATATTAATAAATTATTTGCATATTAAAAAAAATGTTTTTTTTTAATATACAATATGTATATTATTATATATAAATAAAATTTAATTAAAAAAGATTTAAAAAAAAGAAAAAGTATTTTTAAGTTTTTAATTAAACATGAAGAAAAAATGAATAAAAAGATTTTTTTTTGGTCAATAACTTACGTCCTTGTTTCCAACCGAAAAAACGTTTTTTTTTTTTTTTTTTTTTTTTTTTTTTTCATAATTTGGCAATACGTTAAATTTTACATACTTTTATATTCTGTCAAAAACATTTTTTTTAATGACAGTTTTATCATTGTAATAAGAAAACTATAAATAAATTGAACCTGATGGATAAATAAATATTAAGGTTTATTATTATAAGACCCCCCCATTCCGCCTTCCACCCCCCCAAATTTATAATTTAATGAAAAGAAACAAAAAAAAAAAATTTATCATTGGTAGGGATTGTTGGTATTTGATGACAATTTATAAAAACTTACATTTTTTCAACATAATAAATTTATGTATGATTTATATTAATAATAAATAAATAATATATTTGATAATATCATGCATAAAAATAAATAATCAATCCTTATTAAATATTTACTCACGTTTGAAATTAAAATCTAACCGAATGATTATTTTTACTTATAAAAAATATTTTGCCACCATTTACCTTTTCTTTTAATTATTTTTCCAAAAAACAAACGTGTCATTTAAATAATACTTTTTAAAATGTAATTAATAATAATTTCACGTAATCAATAGTTAATCACTTAAAACAAAAAAACACTCAATCACTTTAAAGTCTAGTCAAAAATTCTATCATATTATTTGGAATAAAATAATAACCTTTTATTCCAGCTTAAGTCAACGTTTCAGCTGATCGTAGAATTTTATTAACAAAAAAAAAAAAAAATTGCAAGTTAAAATGTTTTAATGATTGTTTCCTTCAAAAGCTAAACATATAAAAAAGTTTTTGTTAAAATACAATGAAAGTAACGAAAATAAAAAAAATATGTTATAAACGGTTTTGAATTTGTACCCTTTGATAAATTGACGGAGTTAAATTATAAAACATATTAAGATAAACCGCATTAAAAAAAAAAAATTCGACTAGTGTTTGAACAAAACAAAAAAAAAATAAGCAGTAACAAAAGTTTTTTATTGCGCAGGCTCGTTGTTCATAAGTGCATTTTAAGTACATGTGTACCGAAGAATTCCAGACATAGCTTCTATTATGACTGATTGCACCTGATTCACCCTTTATTTTTATATTTACATTCAAGTCTACAAATATTAATTTTTTTTTTTTTTTTATTTATACATGCTCAATATTATTATTTGAATTGTTAAAAAAAAAATTATTTAATTTTAATAAATTTTAATCATCTCAATTAAATAAATTTTATTCGTTGTATTATAATCGCTAAAAATAAATAAAATCCCATACTAATTCGAACGTACAATATTTACCTTATGTCAGGTAAATAATTAATAGAATATTGATAATAATAATAACAATTTAACATTAAAGCAATTTATTGGATAAAGAATGAAAACAAATTTTTTTTATGTTTTTTTTTTTTTTTTTTTCGTAAACATTTCGATAAATTAAAGTTTATAAAATGAAATATAAATATTTTAGTAATAAAAAAAAATTTAATGGAATTTTTGTTTTTAATAAATTTTTTTCATATGAAATTATAACGAATTAGTTACATTAGTCAAATCAAAAAAAAAAAAAAAAAATTACAAATAATGCTGCTTTTTAAAAACAAATTAGTCAAGGCTCAAGGTTTTTTTTTAGTATAAGGTTCCGAGTATATAATTGCATTTAAGTGTAAACTCGGTACAACCGACCGGTACACTTGCACTTAAAATACCCTTTATAAAATCAATATACGAGAACAAAATAAGTACGCATGCACCTAAACTCGTTGTAATGATTTTGTAGTTTTTTACGTATAAGAATTTCATTAATGGTGGACTGTCTTTTTTCATAAAATTATGAATTTAAATTGTTTTGGCCCCCTTCTCCCCCTCTCATACAATGATAAAATAAAATTTTTTAATTAAGAAAAAAAATACTTGTCAATAATTGAATATAAATCCTATTTATCCAAAATAATTAATTAATTAATCTACAGACTATTATTATGAGTGGGTGAAATAATTTTTTAATTTTCAGAAAAATTTCCTTTTCTTCCCATTACCAAATTAATTTCATTATTTTTAATTCACATCACAAAGTGTTTTTTTGACAAAAGTTTAAAATGTTTTATTATTAGTATTATCCACCACCATGATTTTTTAAAATACAATGAAACTATAATAACAAAGCGACAGCTTTTTATTCCTAAAACTATTATCTCACCTTGAACAAACTCCTCATCACAATTTTAATTTAAAGTTTTATCTTCACTGTTAAGTTTTTTTTGGAAAATCTGACAGTAAATTTTTTTATTTATAATAATTTCGGGTTTATAAAATGGTTGAATCCATTTATATTAATATCGATCATTTATTCAATAAAAAATTAACAAAGTTTAGTATTTTTATTAAAATACTAAATTGTCTGATAATTTTTATTTAAAAAAAAAATAAAAAACTGATTATATATACAGTAAGATTTATTATTAAAAAATATTTATATAAATGTACCTGTGGTAAAATATTAATAATTGACAGTTCTTAATGTGTGACCCATGCCTGAAAACCTAAAGTTAATAATTTATTAAATTCTAGGTGCTCCAAAAGCATCAGGCATTCTTTCAATAGTGTACCTAAAAGAAAAATTAAAAAATTATATCTACTTAAAACTTTTAAAATAATTATTAACAATTAAAACTTTACTTACTGATGCTTAGCAATGTACATAATGGGTACACCTGGTATTTTTCGAATTCTCCTTTTTAAATCTTTGTCACATGTTGCGACAATAAAACATTTATGCTAAAAAATTTTTTAAAAAAATGATTTAAAATTGTTTTTATTCTATATTTTTAATAAATTCTTATTATTTTACATTAAATTAAAACTATCATAAATATTTAAAATTTATGTAATTAAACTTTAGAAAATGTCATACCTGAATCACTCTTTGAACTATACAGTCATCAGCATATATTCCCTTATGTAAACA